ATGGACCAATAGGTCCCATGTTGTCCCAAATCATTATGTTATGTTTTATAGGACTGTGAAAGAGTAATGAAAACTTGAGGCTTTAAAAAATATACATTACCAATCATGAACCATATTCCAACATGCAATAGCCCTAAAATGGTTTAAATCAATGTTACCATGATCTGATTGGTCCAAAAATTGAACTTCTGTAATTATAAGCTGAAAAAACAGCATCCTTACTTGATGATTCAAATTCAGACATTATTGCTGCAAAATAATATTTCAACACCAAGGATATAAGAAGATTTAACATTGAAATATAATTTAGATCAATGAATTGGAGATGAAGGAATTCAGGCAAAAATAACTGAAAAAAAAGTTTCTCTGTAGTGTAAGAATTTTCAGATAGTTAATATGGTGCAAATCAGTATAAATTTCTGGCTCACCAAGCACATAACATACCTTCTATGTGGCAGCTACAAACTGATAATTATTGCATTAACCAATCTGACCTATATGTTTCAAGACATTACTTTTTGGAATTGAACACTTGAAAGTACCACTGTTATTCAATCCTGTTTGAGTTGTTAAAAGTAACTTACTAGCAAGCTGTATTGGGTTAACCTTTTAGCTCAGTTAATTAAGTACTTGCTTGGCATGTGGAAGGTTTCAGTTCAAATCATAGGCAAGGAAATATTTATCATGAAAAATAAATTACCAAGGATATAACATATTTTAAACATCTTCATCCTCCACTTTTTTTGAATTCCTAAATCAAAAACACCTCAAAAGATATGAGTTGCTTTTATTATTCCTATGCAGGAAACAGGAGAAGTAATGTTTATTTACACTTCAGATAAATATAATCTTATGACTGTAACACACTAATATTGTAGTACTTTTCTAACTGTAAAGCTATTTATTTTGACAAAAAATTAAAACTCCCCTAGCAAAATTAGGAATGAATATTGCACATTAGCATTGCAGTACATCTCTTAGACTTTTCCTTTTTACGAACAAATGAAAGTTACTCCAGCCCATGATCTAATTTCCCACATATACAATAAAACAAATGAGTAGTTTTATTTTTACTTATGGCATCTCAAAAGAAACATATGGTTAAACTTATATTACCCATCAGGACATGTATAACAAAATAAATTTATGAAATTATACAATTGTTTTCTCTTTTGTAAAATAAAGTTATTTTTCAAAATAAAGATGGTTTGAAACATCCATGCCACTACAATATTAATCATTAATAATTTACTTATGGAACCAAAACTAATCAATCAAGTTTTATTATAAACTTGAAAGAGTGATCTATGTTATTATAATGCTAACAACAGGTACAAAAATCATCTGATGCTCTCTTACTTGTTTTTAACATAGTTAATGAGCAAAAAATAAAGTGCTTTTGAGGAATGATAAAAAGTATACTATATTTTTAAAAACAAGTTCTCAATTTACCAGCTTATGTGTGTATATATATATATATGTGTATTTGTGTGTGTGTGTGTATTTTATTCTATTTATTTATTTTCAAAGACCTGGATGAATTTCTTATAGAATTGAAAGCTGAGCCAGAGCAATGGACTACAACAACCTCAAGACAGGTTGCTTCTCCAAGTTTTCCAGAAGATGAACAAAATGAACTAGCCATCATTTCTATGACAACAACACCACAGAACAAACCTAACACAGACTTGCACACTGAAGAGAAAGGTAGGACATTTTCAACATCATTAATGATTCTTAGCAATGTCTGGAAAGCTTGGGAACATATTGCTAATTTGAGGCTTTCTAAGAAATAATTTTTGATGCCTTCCAGCAACACAAGATTGATAAACAATTGCTAATAAGCTACTTACTTTCCCTCTCAGTGCTCTTCCAGTTACTTTGGTTAGTTTAAAATGAAAAAGTGTAAAAAACAATAAAACAAACACAAGCCACTTGAGTGAAATGTTGGTAACAGATTTTTCTTTGTATTAAACTTTCTTCTGGCATTTTTTTCCTGATAAATTAGCTGCATTCATACATAACTGTGTACAAAAACACATATTTGACATAATGGTGATTGAATTTATTTCATGTGATAGTTCCTGTTAAGACAATGATGTGCATATCAGAGAATTTGTTGGCAGTAAACAGCATGTTTTGATCAGCAGAAAACTACATGCAATTTCAAGCAATATTAGCCCTCACTTTCCCATGACATTGATAATATGAGGAATATCAGAGTAATGAATCATCTATATAAATAATACGCTTGCATTTGTCTGTCGAGAACTTTTCTCACAGGTTTCTCAATTAAATGCTACAAATCTCATATTGTTAGAAAGACCTTTGTCTTTGCATATTGGTTTTTTCCATTCATAATCACCTTACCTGTTTTTTGCTTAGTCAAACTTTTCAATGCAGCAAGTAGTGCTACACAATAGCACAATATCATTGTTATCACATGATGACTGGCTTCAATTTCAACTTTTTCACAAAGTATTTCACTCAAACAGCACTTAACTCATATGTAACTTTAAAAAAATATTAACATTACACTTAATACAATTGCTATGGGCTTTCTCAACTTATTTGGGTCTGAAATATGCATGCACAGTTTGTTAAAAAACCATATGCTTATCACTTTGTGAACAGGCATTCAGACGTTTCTTCATAATCAGCTAAGTTTGCCTTCATTTCAACTTTACACTTACTTTGCTTTGCAATAATTTAGTTTCAGTTCATTTCATGAGCTGCTATAAACACATTTTAGCTACTTTTTTCTTTAATATGGATTATATTCTTCTTTTTTGTGAGTTTCTTTCTTTCAACTTGTAAAATCATGTAATACACTGAATGCTCATGACTGTTTTATACCCTGTACACTGTTATAAATACCTTGTACAGTATTATAAATACCATTACTATACTTTATTATTTACTTTACATGTAGTTTTATTAAATAAAGTTATGTACATGTAGTTTTATTAAATAAAGTTATATCTATGTGAGTTTGTTTGTCTGACCTCGGAAAAATTTTTCAAATACACCAGGATTTATTGATCTAATGCTTAGTACCTGTAAGAAAGCATAGGTTAAATGGTATGCATGAAAATGGTAGAATAAGGAAAATTCAAATGAAGGACATGAAAACTACCACGAATGTTTTGCAGATCACAGCTAGTGTTTTTATATTTTATAAACTATTTCATTACAAAAGAATCTCCACAGTTCTGACTGCCATGCTATTTGGTCAAGTGTTCATTACAAACCCACAACAAAAACTGTATGCTTGATAGCCTCAAAACATTTAGTGTTATAAGTTATAACAACTATGCCAATAAACAGTAAAAGAAGAGATATGGGTTGTCAAAGTTACATAACACATATATATGAATGGCCTTGTCAGCATAGGTTCAGTGCTTTGTGTTGTAATTCAGGTAAACTGAATTAATGAATGTAAATGGAAAGTTTGTTAATTTGGATTTTAATAAATAGGATGTCATATCAGTCAAGGAGAACCTTCCAAGTGTTTTTTATCATGAACTTTCCAATATTTATATAATATGGAATATCACATAAGTTAACATGCTAAACATATTAACATGTGTTAAATTCTCTATTAAACTGTAAATATTATTATTTCAACACAAATAAACGTCTTTTCCAAATTGTTTTTTTAATTTATGACAAGTATGTATATTTACTGTAATTTCATACATATAAATTTGTGTGAAACTACTGTTATTTATTTAGAAAAAAACTGCTGAGGTACACAATAGTAAACTTCTTATTTAGGGAATTCTAAAAAAATAAGAGTAAAAAACAGTGCTCAGCTGTGGGATTCAAAGAGCTTCTTTCAATTCAAGGCCACATTGTACCAATCAATCTCCTTCGTTATCCCCAGTTATTTCTATAAGTACTCCAATGGGAGTCTCCACCCAAAAACATATCTTTTTAGGACACCCACCCATGGTACCTGAGCATATGTACCACATGTAGCTCTTCTAGTTTATGAGTGGGATGTGAACATAAATTCAAACATGGTGCCCCTGCGATCCTGAGGGGTGCTACAAACACAAAATATGATGCCAGATTTAAGATTAGCAACCTATAAAACCTACTTCTAGGTTCCAATCACAATGTGGCTGACCATTTGGGACATTTTTAGCCCCCTTTTGTACTCCTTTCTAGGAAGACTATAGCATATAGATAAGGGCATCTCATGGCCAGCCCAAGTTTGCTTATTAAGTTTGGTCTTGCTAGTTGCAAAATTCTGGGAGGGGTTGATAGACAAATAAATTCACAAACAACAAGAATTAATATAGGAATAGTTTTTTTCAGAAATAACAAAGTAGCTAGTGTTTTTTCATAATAATAAAAAAAAACATCCTATATAGGATCAAAGGTTGGTGAATCACATTAGAAAAAAGAAGACAAAACCCTAATGCTGTTGACAACTGTATCTGAATGCTAAGTACCTGTGTATATATATCTGACTGTAATACAATAATATTCAGTACAGTGCTGATGGAGGAAGCGAATTACTAGGTTTTCTTCCATAAACAAGCTGATCTGATTAAATAAATTGTTTTGTGACACTATATGATTTTTTTCTCAGCTGGTGGTTTAAACTATATATTATAATGAGAAATATTCACCAATGGCTATGCTTTATTTCAGAGCCTTATTTTTTTTATATTTTCTTAAAGCAAAATGTAGGACACCCAATTTATGATCTTTCTATCATTGTGAGATATTATTTCATATGTTTCCCAAGTTAAAGGTTTAAAATTACCTGATCAATTGCAAGCCAGCTTCTTTGAAAATAAAACAGATATTTAAAACTTTAATAATAATGTGATTATAAGAATATTATAATAAAGTAAAATATTGTATAAATGCTTTGAAATCTTAAGGTTCAAATACTGAATAAAAATTAGCGTTTCTTCTTACTTCCCTAAACCACCTACATTTAAAATAAGCTCTTAATTGATTTGTTATGTAAATATAAAGGTGTATTAATTTTATAATAAATTTTAGATTTACATATTTAACGTTACAAATGTATTTACTGTATCCAATGAACTAATAACATTTTTGGATTTCTGTTGTTTTTATATACTTATATATCTAATGTTTATTTAAAAGAAAAAAAAAGACATTATTTGCTGTGAGATTGAAATAGTTTTCAATGTATGAAAATAGTCCAACTGTAAACTACATTGTTTTTCTCTAAGATCTAATAGCTGCTGTTATATATATATTTGCATCAAAGATATCATATTATGTAATTTTTAATATATTTTATTGCAGTGTAAGCTGTCATGTTTTTTTTTTAAGATAATGTAGCATATGTATGAATTTAATGTTAGTTGTATCACTAAATTATTATTATTTCAAAAACTAAGGTGCTGATTTTCTGGTCTATAGAATACTTTTTAAAAGTGTGGTATAATGACTCTTGGAAAGAACTGTTCAAATGCTAATTATAATAGTGATCTTTTAAATATTATAATGAAATTATTTCTATAATTCACCACAAAGTGATAGATACAGTACTTTAAAAAACACAAACACAAGACATTTTTATCTTCTATAAGATTTTATTTAGTTTTTTTTTCATGGGTATGAATAGGTATTATCAAATTTGTATCAAACTGATAACTTGTGAACATAATTACAAGTTGTTGTTTTTTTAAACAGTGCTTGTAAAATACCAACTTTCATAAAAATATTTCAATTAATGTTACTGATAGAAGGGACAGATACAGATGAATCAGGAGCTGTTCAACATGTCATTCAGAAACAAAATAGTTATGTTATCAAAGATGAAAATCGAGGTTAGTCACTTTTATTATCACTTTCTAAAAGTTTCTTTGATAAATGTTTATAACACTCACGTTTATTTAAACTTTTCAGTTATTGTGCTGGTTATTGATTGTTTTGTTAGAGATTGGTCTGTGATGGTTGAAAAGACAGAAATTTAGAAAAATTTTTTGTTGATCATTTCAAGTCAAATTACTTGATAATTTTATTTTTACTTGGCGGACAATCCATGAAGGAATGATTTTTCCAATGCAATTTTAACTTAGCTGTAATTGTATTTGCATAAAACCTGCTCACTATGAACAGTCATGTCTAATGAGGTAACTTCTGAGAATAAGTTATTCTGTACAATGAAATCTTATCAGTGTTTTGTAATGTTTTTGTGACTGTCTCCAATATTTTATTCACATTTCATTCTTTTCATCTTTTTTGGGGTTTCAAAGTTTGAAAATATACAGCTACTGTAGTATGCAGGCATACATATTTATACATATAATTTAAGGACAAAAAAGGCCTTTCCATCCTCTATACTAAACTCAAAAATAAAAACAAACAAACAAAAAGCTAGCTCTTATCTTTCAAATATTTATCAAGCTTCCCTTAAACTCCCTTAAATTAATTGCATCTACTACATTTGAAGGCAACCCATTCCAAAGACCACCCACCCTGTTTGAAAAATAAAAGTTGTCTCAGCTGAAGACTCCCACCCATATATTTATATCCCCTAATCTTACTATTCTTACCATTAACTACGAAAAAAGATGATGCATAAACACTATCAATTCCTTTAACAATCTTAAAAACCTCAATCAAATCCCCTCTAACTTTCTTTTTTTCAAAAGAAAACAGTTTCAGATGTCTTACCTATCCTAATATGACAACCTTTCCACTTCAGGTATCATCCTAATAATCATTCTCTGAATCCTTTCCAACAATTCAACATCCTTTCCTAGGTAAGGAAGCCAAAACTGAACACAATACACCAAATTTGGCTTAATCAATGACTTGTACAATAACATTGTAACCTCTTTTTGTCTCCATTGTTTTTGTAGATACAACATAAAATTGTATATGCTCTGCTGCTACCAACAGCAAATTGCTTGAATCATGTAAGAGACTGATCAAACAGAACACCAAGATATTTTTCTTCTATAATGCTGTTAAGTTTATTCCTATCTAATTATACTTATAATTTAAATTGTGATATCTAGTCTTGTTTCCATCTAGCAACTATTCAAGATGAAGAATATTGCTTAAATTCTCATTAGTAAAAAATGTAAGAAAAAGTAGAATTTAATAACCCAACCATCCCATAATCATCAGATATTAGCCTTCCTGTATCATCCATTAAAGGCCCTACTCCAATCTTAATATATTTAAAGAAAT